CCGTTCAGGCAGGAGCGGGCCCCTGGGTGGGCGGGGGGCGGCCTGCGGGCTGGACCCTTACCTGGGAGGCGGGCACGCGGTCGAAGTTCTTCCCCAGCATCCTCCGCATGTGCTTGCGGGCGTGGGAGGTCATCTGGTGCTTGAGGAGGAAGGAGAACTGGCAGCCCTCGCGGATGCAGTGGAAGTGGCTGTTCACCTGGTTGTACTTGCAGCCTGCGGACACAGCCCCCTCGGCGTGAGCCTCCCCGGCCAGCGCTCAGGGCACCGACTGCGTGTCAGGCACTGTTCTGGGCACGGGGAAGTGTGGCCAACAAGGCAGACAGCATCTGGGGAAAGGGCACCGTCCCCGGGGTGGCATTCCTATCAGGAGGGCCTGTACCCCACCCCACCTCCAGGAAATTAGGCCACTGGGCTGTCCAAAGCCGGGGCCTCCCCTCCAGCCTAACGTAGAGGCACGTGACCCCCGTCCCCTACCCCAAACACTGAGAGGTCCGTGGGCTCCAGGGCAAGGGGCCCTAATGACCTGTCCACTAGATCAGCCACCTCCCAGCGAGCCACCTGTGCCCTCGCCCCCGATGGGGAGCCCGTGTGCTGCCGGCCCCCAGACCTTGTTTAATGGCTGCAGCTGGCTGGCCCCCGCCCTGCCCCCTCCTACCTCTGCTTTGCTTTGGGCTGAGAACAAACAGAACAGGCGGGATTGAAACAGTATCAGCAAAGGGCAGGTGAAGGCCTGTCCGTTGCCATGGCACCTGAGCTGGCCAGGTGTCTTATATCATCCCCCAGCTTTGTTTGGCCCCAGCTACCACCCAAAACACCCCAAGTTGGGTAAATAACAGCAACTACAGAATCCCCTGACACCTGCAAACTGAGCCCAGGACCGGCCGAGGCCACCCCGTGTTGACATCTGTTGCCATGGTTACCAACCCTCTCCCAGGCCATGGATTCTTTTTGAATTAATACGTGAAGGAAAGGTTTGTTCTCACCCTTCCCCTATGGAAGGGCCAGTCAGCAGCAGGCAGTGGCCCCACCTGTGCTCCCCCAAGTCCCTGCTGCCATGACCACCTGAGTCACAACAGGGCTCGCCCACAGAGCAGGTGTCTGCCCAGCCTGCTGGCTACCACCTGCCTCCAGGCTCCAGTCCCTCCTTGGGCAGATTCTTGCCCCACCGCTGCAGCCTGTGAACACAAGGCGCTGCCCTCCTGCCTGCTGGTCCTGGAGGCCCCTCCCCAAAGCACCCCCAGGGCAAACTCTGGGAAGCCCGGTTCCAGGGCCAGGGGGCAGCTTCCCTGCTCGGGGTCCCATTCTCGGCAGCAGAGTTAACACACAGGCACCTCCTGCGGAACTTGGGGCCGTTTGTGGCCTCCTCTTCCCAGCCCCATGGCCACTTCCCTCTGGGTCACCCCAAGTCAGAGAAGCTCTGGGCTGAGCCCACCGTGCACGTGCTGTTCCACAAGGTTCCCGGCACTGAGCACAGTGCCGGCCACAGCAGATGACAAAAGCACTCTGGCTGCTGCTGCCTTCACACCCCGCCAGCCCCCGCTCTGCCCCCTGTCACCCCAGGGCCTCCTGCAGCAGCGTAGAGCTTGGAACATGGCTGTTCCTCAGTGAACCTCTGCCAAATGAATGAACGAGCCACGGAACAAACCACGGCACATGTTAGACAAAACCCTCGCAGCTGAAGCCGTGGACAAAGATGCCAGGACAGGAACCTCGGGAGCTCCCCACACTCACTGGGAAGCCCTCTTGAAAGGCAAAGAGCCCGGCTGGTGTGGCTCAGTGGTTAAGCATCGACTTATGAACCAGGAGGTCATGGTTCGATTCCCGGTCAGGGCACATGCCCGGGTTATGGGCTCGGTCCCCAGTGTGGGGTGTGCAGGAGGCACGGCCGGCCCATGATTCTCTCTCATCCTTGATGTTTCTCTCTCCCTCTCTGTTCCTCTCTGGAACCAATAAAAACATATAGAAAATACCATAAAACAGGGAGGAGGTCTGTGTGTGGGGGGAATAAGTGAATGTGCTGTTGTCCGTTGGATAGAGATTCCAAGCCGAGAGACAAATCACACAGAGGGGGTGCTGTGCGGTCGGACGGGGCGGCCCGAGGCACCCCGGCTCCC